AAAAATTGAAATGCCCACGCGAGAGAGGACGGAGGGAACTGGGAAGTGGGTGGTTTTCATTTACGGTATCGAGTAGAGAGCTCATCGTTTTGTTTCGTTCCCTGATTTTCCCTGACTCAAGGGAAACATTTTCAGATGGACATCCGAGATAACCTCTGATTTAATTCCAGATTCGCTAAGGAAAAACTTACTTCTCCTCTCAAGATAATTAAAAAAAATTTATCTGAGAATCTCCGCTCTTATTTTATTGTTTTACAGGAAAACCGCGCCTACATCGTTTCTTAAATTTTTCTCAGAATTTGCTTCGCACGGAGGGGAAAAATCACTGAAGTTTACAAGAATTTACTTTCAGTAGCTTTCCATCTAAAAAATTAAGTATGACAGGAAGTCTGAGCGTCGCAAACCGAGATACGAGGTTTGGGAGTTTCTCTTTCGATATTTGCTATTGGTTTCCCTGTGCTCTTATGTGTGAGCCACAAATAGTAGTGCATTGTTACAAGATTAAGTCTAACGGACATTATCTCCACATTGAAAGGCTATTCTACCAAGCAACAGAATTCATAAAATAGTAAATTTCCAATATTTGAAAATTTTCCGAGAGAATTTCCCCAGTTCGGCAACACGGGGCATGAGCTCTTCCTCGTTGAACCACTTTCTCTGTTGGCTCCCTCCTCTCCTCTCTCCGACGATTCCTATTCTGTCAGACGCCTGTTAACTCGACCGTGGCCGAATCACAGCATTGCGGATTTTCCTCTCTGACCTCCATCAAGCCGTTCCCACCCCCGCTTTCCATCCTTCGTCGTCTCGACGCTTCCCACAATTACAGCTCCAAGGACTCAGCCCACTTGTCAAACTCGGAAATGAACTTTCGGCCGGCCACCTCTCCGAAAGCTCCTCCGAGACTGCAACGCATTTCCGAGGTGACAAAGTGGAAGAAGGATTAGTTCTGTAAAACCTCTCTCAATTCCCAATCGATTCAACTCGATTCAAAATTCAAAGAATCCTGTAACAATTTGGACACTTTTCCAATTCGAACAGTTTCTCAAGGGTTTTGCCACGGTTTATTATGTGACTTGAATGTTCAGAATTAGGGGAAAAAAGAAAAAAGGTTAAAACTCGGACCAAATGCACAAATACAAATGGACATCATTTTACAATTAGGAACTACAATTTCCAGCTCACTTTGAAAACAACATCCATGGCATTAGTTTCTCCATGCAGATCAGTGCTTATACAATACATATGAGTCAGAAATTGTGGCTCCTCATCGCTAAAGGAAGTCAAAATGTTTTCTAGCTTGTAGAAATACGATTATAGCGAGTGGAGATTTAGCAACGTTGTAGCTGCGTTCCTTCATTTGGAAGAGAACGTCATGTGCGGTCATCAGCTGACCTCTCATCGGCGGCGAAAGATGTCGGTAAAAACTGCGAAATTAACGAGGCCGTCATTAATTTGAAAACAAAACGGGTTCATTAGAATGAAATCGTTTAGGAACAATTAATTGAACCATAGTAACGGTGTTTCCGAGATCTATCTTGCGTCATAATTGAAGATGATCCAATGCAGGGTAATTAGACCGACGGTGGTTTAGATCAATGCCCATTAATGACACCTCAGTCTTCCTACGAACCGCCTCTGATAACACTTATTTCCGTATCTACAGAGAAGCTCTTGTTGTGCAGTTCTCGAGACTTCGAGAGGGCGACCCACTTGCCGGACGGCTGGCAACGACGGCAATTACGCTTTTCGGCGATTTGTCTCGGTAATGAGGAACGGAACGGCGCAGTCACTCGCCCGCGTTCGTGGGAGTGATTTAACGACGTTAAAGCGACGACGACCGGACCGACACAGGAAGAACCAAGACGGAGAGCCCCGACTTGTTGACTCGGCGAGTCGACAGCTCTCGTTGCTCACCGTTCACCGGTGACCGCCCGGTCCTGGCGGGCCAATTACTCACCGACTCGTGCTCCACCGAGTACCGACATCGTACTCAACAACTCGTAGCCGTTCCGATTATCTCGACTCGGAAGAGCGTGGCGCTATTTTTACGAGCGGGTAATTTACCGACAGGTAGCACGTCCGTTGCCAAGTTCCATCGTTTTCTGTCGGATTATTACATATCATCCGAGAGAACGAGACCTAAAGAACCTTTGACACCTATCATGGTGCCGTCATCATGTGCTACTGTCACACGATCAAATCGTGCATTACAGTCTAACCGAGAGGGTGAGACCTGAAGCCTGACACCTATCGTGATGACGTCATCATAAGCTACTGTCACACGATCAAATCGTGCGATCAATATATCAAGGCCAGGCGTTGTGATTGGTTATTCGATGACTTGCACCAATCGCGACACTTGACCTTGATGTATTGATAGCACTATTTGATGGTGAAACAAGAGCTACAGGGATACTCCGGGATATCGAATTGGATCCCAACAATAACGATGCGTTAATCCTGCCGTTATAGCGAAGAGAGCAGTGGGCACATTTCTGTATGAGTCATGATTAGCACATGCTTTTGTGTGTCTCGAGGTTCATCCCAGCATGCACTTACTGCTTTCTTTGATATCACGGCAGAATCGGTGTCGATGCTAAGAATGAAAGTACATCAATGAGGTAGCTTTCCTCTAACGTGACGTTGAAAGTCTAGAGAAAGAGCAGAAACTTAGCCTCATTCTCATGAAGACCCTTAAAATCGAAAACAAGCGAAGAATTAAGTTGGGAGGGGATTGTTGCCAACCTTGCCACGGTAGAGGTTTAAGTTAACACAATTGTTCGAACGTAATTCACAAAATTGGTCTCTACACTGAGTAATACGCCTAGGTAGGTAATTCAAGCAAAGTTCACGGAGATACATTTGTTTGATCTTTGGCAACAGCGAATGTCATTTAATTCCCCTCCGAAAAACACCGCTAAGTAAGACCATTCGTGCGCGCAAGTCGTATTTCCGACTAGAGGCCGCGATGAAAAATTTTGCCGTCGACATAGAACGTTTTTTTTAGCCTGTCCTGGTTCACTCTGTAATGGTTGGGAAAAAGGCTAAATGAATGGTGACGTCGGGATATTTTTTTCAATAACCGCGGGGGAAGAGAGCAGTATGTTCCTGCGTGACGGATGACGTCCTGAACCGTGAAAAAAATTGTAATCGCTACGCCGCGATGCAAAAAACGAGGATTAACCCGATTTTTTTTGTGCAATCAATGTTCACATTCAATCAGTATTTCCAGGGACAGTTCTGAGAATTAATGACGGGAATTTTTTAGAATTTCAGGGCATATCCGATCAGTACTTAAAGCATACGGCATGCTTTTGCAACGCCAATCGACGTACTACGTATGATCATACTGAAAGGCAGAAATATGGATTTTGCAGAGAAAGAACGACTAAAATTATCTTTGGACGTATTTAAGTTTAAAAGGAACTAAGTGTTACACGAAAACCCTATGCACATAGTTCCTTTTAGCACAAATACGTCCATTTGAACTAAGTGTTGACGTAACTGCACGAGTTGGCAATGGCATTCGAATTGCGTGGGTCAGCAAGGACACTATGACAGCTTCGAACGAGATGCTGCGCTACGTTAACATGCCATCAATTCACGTCAGTCGGAAATTCTGGGAAGGGAAACGGATATTCGGTCTCAAATAGAAACTCATCTCCTTGCTACCGCACGTGAAGTTTTTTTGCGTTCACTTCGTTTTAAAACTGAATAATTGCGCTACCATTTTCTGAACTCAGTATTTCAACTGATGACAAATTTGTATTTTTAAAAAGTAAAATAAGTGTACATACTATCGTCTGCAATCCTACAGCTGAGAAACGCGTAACAGCGACTGCCACATCACAACTAACTCGCTCAAATATTCTGGAAATGACAGCACGACAAAGCCTTATCACCGCAAATCCTGTTTCACATCTAATTAGTTGCCTGATTTTGATACAGATTAGCGGGTTTGGGAATGAAGCTCATGTAACAATCCCTTACATTGAACATCTTCCTATTAATTTGATGAGGTTGAAAGAACTTTTATCACGATGACCTTGATTCGACTGGATTACATTACGGTGCATTTCATGTAAAGAATGTGAGAAAGATGGTGGCCATTTTGAACAGCAAATTAGATCAACACTTCAAAAATAAGAGTCCAGTAGATCCAAATTCCCTGGAGACCTGGGGCACTTTGGGCAAAATCTTGGAGCTATATTCGGATTTTACCTCGCAAAACTTCTCAGGGCCCTTTTAATCTCTCTTTTTTTTGAGCGAGGGTTTCTCAGCCTGAAACGGGGCCTCTCATGAACTTTTTCCCCCTCAATACCAGATGCCCCCGACATTCCTTCTGGCAGGGGCGCAGGGCTCACCCTTGGAAAAATATGAACCTCATCCGTCCTTCTTGGTGGGTATATCAAAGTGGCCACCACCTCACATACTTCGTAGCTTTCTCACGAAAGAACGTAACTCCACTCCAACATTGCCAAATTTCTTGTCGGAAATTTTTTTGGAGAAATCTTCAAAATTTTAGGCTGAAAATTTCACTGAATGTTCCTCTAGATTCATTCAATAGCAAAATCATTGTCATAGAACCGTCACACAGTGGATCGAGTCAATAGGAGAGACCGGACAAATGTTGGAAACTTTGAACGCTCATAACTCCGTTTATACAAGACTTTAAGGTTCTAAAAGTGGCTCCATTGGTTTCCTCGTGAAATTTTTGGTTATTCGCACCCCTTGAAATTGAAAATGTGACGAGGTAAACATCAACATTTTCAGTTTTGGTCAAAAATTTCATGCCCGACCTCTCTAATTGACTCGATTCACTGTGTGTCATAGCGAAATTCAGCAAAATTTTGGACAAAAATTGACCAGTTGCATCATTGTAAAAAATTGAACTGTATGAGTCAATTTGGCAACCTTGGAAATTGGCATGGAGTTACGTTTCTTCGTCCGGGAGAAGACGACTTTTGATACGGATTGACAGGAAAGAAAATTGTGGTTACCTGAGGAGTCGTTCCTGGGGGTAAGCTCGTTCCCGGTCCATGAGCTCGTCGGCGGGGTGGGCGTTGTGGGCGGGGTGGGCTGGGTGGCCGGGGTGGCCCGGGTGGGTGGTGAGCGGGGAGAAGCGCCTGGCGAAGAGCATCTCGGGGATCTGCGAGTAGAGGCTCGGCTGGGCCAGGTGGTGGAGGGACAACTGGTGCGGGCTCATGATGCTCTGCGGCGGCGGGTAGTGGGCGCTAGGGTTGGCGGCTTGCGGCGGGGCCGACCCCGCAGGATGCGACATGAGCAGCGACTGATGCTGCACACTGTCCACGTGGCGCACGGGCTCCGCCAGCAGTAGGCTGGGGTCGCGCCACACCTGCCAACAACAACGCAATTAATATCTTGTCACAAAACCTACTAACAGACATTCCGCCAAGAAAAACCTCATGGCAACAAGTGGAAACCTGACCTTTTGGAATCATTGTACCATTCCAATATTCCTTCAATTAGAAGAAATTGAATTTGGGGAAGGGCAAGTTCCCAACATCGCACGTCAGCGACTGCTCTTGCAAATTGGCAACACTTGGATTTGACCTTTTAAAAGTATGTAAAATCATAGATTACTGTAATACAATTAAACGGACGAAAGACAGTGTTGCCATCTCACGAGAATTGCCACTGGCCGGGATACCAAGAGCTGACAGTTCTTCTAACCTTGTCAAAAATGTTCACTTACTGTTATCAATAATTGAGAGGTAAAGCAAATTGATACGAACTTTGAGTGATAATTTAATTGATTCTGACCATAATGGTTATTCGGACGCTAGTTTGACTTCATCAATGTAGTTTTGCACAGAATATTCATGAAAAGGGAGTGAACACTGGTTGGATCATTGAAGCTTTATTGATCTTTCATAGCTAGTGTCACACGATTGAATCGAGCGATCAAATGACCAAGGCCAGGAACTTTTCTTTTAAATACCAGAAATAGCTTCTGGCCCTGGTCATTTGATAACTCGATTTGATCGTGTGACTTTAGCCTATAAATAAGTACGTTTTTGTGGAAAATGATCTATCATCGAAGCAGAGCGACTTCTGCGTTGAATTGAGAAACGTCTTTCTCGAGTGCCTATCGACTTGGGCTTTAATCATTGTCACCTGCATTCAAAAACGCTCCCCTTCTCGATCTACTCATCTTCGTACTTGGGAGCAAGAGATGACAGAATACACGATAATGAAGTCGGGGGTGCGATCTTACCTCTGCTCCCTTCTCGTTCTGGTGGCTGTGACTAGCGGCCAATAGGGCGGACCTGGTGATCTGCAGGTTTTGGCCGAGGTTGAGGTTGAGGTTGAGGCCGGTCGTCGGGCCGGGGCCCGGGGCGGGCGGGGGCTCGTCCGAGCTGCTCAGGGCGCTGCTCCGCGAGCCGGAGCGTTCATCGCCGCTCGCGCAGCTGCCGGAGACGGAGCGGAGCGAGCTCAGCCCCGAGTCGGAGCGGTCGTCGCGGTCGGGGAACCGGAGGATGTTCGGGGTGGCATCGTCCATTCTTCTGACAGTGGCCGACAACGGGATGCTCGACAACGAGAGCGTCGCTCCTTCATTCTCGATCCCGATGCGCTCGAGCTGCGTCTGCTCCTTCGCCGCGCACTCCTTCACGCACGCATCTTCCTCCTTCACGCACTCCTCCTTCACGCACTCTTCCTTCCAGGTATCCTTATCCTTCGGCGTATCCTTCGCTTCACTCTTCACTCCACTACCACTATCACTCACTCGTAGATCACTGACCGGCGGTGTTGCCGCGGCCGGTTCTCCTTCCGCACTTTCACACTTGGTATCCGCTTCTGCTGCCGGATCCGGGGCCGGTGCGGGGGCGGTAGAGGGGTTCGGGGGTGGATCCGCTTCGACTTTGACGGGTTCCGATTTTGGCGACGGACTCCGCCTCGACGGACGATCTACCGGCGATGGGGGTGCCGATAATCGCGCCTTCGCTTCCGCCTCTTTCTCCTTCTCTACGGCGGTGGCTGCTGGGGATTTGCAGGGCTCTTCCTTAGCTTCTTCTACAGCCACATTCTCACCGTTCTTCTTGCACTTCTTCGCTTTGGATACACTTTTCGGTTTTGGTTTGACTGCAACAGAAAAAGAAAACGGATCATTAGAACTGAGTAAGCGAATAAAATACGTTTACATTATACTAATGTAATTAAGAGGAGGATACAAAGGCGAAGAGTCAAATTTGATAGCGAAGTGATTTAGTAATTCATTATACATTCAGTTCCAGTCCGGTGTCCGGTCTTCTCAAATTGTGAACAATACCGATGTTTGCAATGGTGATTTAAAATTGGTTGATTTCAACTTTCTCTTTCTGTTATTACTATTTGGGTCAGGACAGAGACTGATTACACAAGGTTCTTTCAGTTCACCCTTCGCCCCCCCCCCCTTTCAACATCTGTCTTAACTATGACCTCTTTAGGGCCTTTTCAGTCAATTTCAGTGATTATTCTTACAGGGAATTTCGTCCACCCTGCACGAATTTTCTTGAAGATTCACCTGGATTATGCTACTGGAAACACTACGAGAAGGCTAGCGCATATTTGAGGCCATTAAAGTCGTAATTTGAACAATTTTCGAGCCGGGAGCACAGAGGAGCTATCTGACTCCTCCAGGCTGGAAGCGGGCAAGCTTGCAGTGAGAATGGTAATCTGCCTACTCCGACGATGTGTAGCATTGCCAAGACCTTAAAATTTGCTTCTCGCGAAGGGCCGAGCGGCCTGACTGTAATTTCAAGCTCGACGACCGCGCCAAGGAATATTAACGAGCCGCACACGCTAAAGGCCAAGTTTCAGACGCCGCACAGAGGAGCGAGCTAACAAAAGAGGTCGGACAAGAAATTTTTGGCTAAAATTTCAAATTAGGATATTTATTTCGTCACAAATTCAATTCCACGGGGTGTTGCTAATAGAAAATTTCACGAAAAAACCAGTGGAACTACTTTTAAACTGTTTACTTTCATATTTTAGAAAATATAAGCTTTCAAAGTTTTCAAATTTTGACTGACATCTCTTGTTGACTTGGTCCACCGTGCGCCGAGCCCGGGGGTCGAGAGATGAAATTCAAGATCCACCTTTCGGCTGATATTCGATACGGCCCGGCCGGGGTCCGCTGCAACAGTTCTCGCGAAAACCGGTCCGGTGTTGGCGATGCGGGATTCCAACGTTCGCATCGGGAACTTGGCAACTGGACTGCGAGAGCTTACGCACAACACGAGGCCTCGAGGCTCCAGACTTGTCGACACACGATTTTATGATTCCAACACCGGCTTCCTGTATCAATGTTACAAGAAAAGTTTACGACGAGCATGACTGTGAGTTGGCGGAGGAACGGCGAGGAGTGGGGTGGGGTGGGCCCACGTCTGAAGTTCTGCCGTGTTAAGGAAAAACGCCGTATGAGTATTTCAATGTTGCCGAATTTCCTCTGAAATTGCAGTTTTCAGACACTTTAAATCAAATCACGAACGAAATTCTCTGAAGAATGGGAGGAGATATATTTACAAATTTTCCCGAAAATTCGTTATTTGCGAGGGGAATTTGGCAACATCTAAAGGTTCATAAGGCGTTTTTCCTTGGCATGGCAGAGCTGGTCTGGCAACTGCCGAACAGGTTAATGGATTCCGATTCAGGGAGAGGGTGGATGGGGAGGGCCCAAGTCCGGAGGGGGCAACGTTGCAAAATCTATTTAGAAATATGGCTCCAGGACTTACACGACGAGGTGGTATGATTATAAGGCCTCGTTTCTTATTCGGTGATAAAAATCAGAGTAATGTACCGTCCGACTTCAGTCAATAGCAAAATGTAAACCAATTTCACCTACATCAGTCAAAAACCAATTTTTCTTACATTGGTCAGAGGTAGATTTAATTTTATCATCCCAAGAAATTCGCACCCGTAAACAAGATTCTACTACACGCGCAACTAATCCATTAATCCATTCCATTATTGGTCGAATAAACGTGTAATCCACAAAGGCACATGAAATCAAAATTAGTGGCCGATATTATGAAGCCGGCTTAGAATAAATCCTATCTCTCTATCTAGCATATCAGTTGGAGCCCCTAGGGTGATTTGGCAACAGTAAGAGGTTAGTCTGGTCCAAGTGTCTTGTGTTCCGTCTATTTCTAGTCGGAATGACGACCGGTCGGCCAACGTCTGCCTTCATTAACGACGACAATTACTCCGCTTGTTTCTGTTCTCGCCGTTGTCAAAATTGGCGCGTTTTCAACAGCAGAATCGAGTTTCGATGCGTCGCGTTCCGTTCCTGATTTATCGTTCCGGGCCGCGCAAATAGTGCGCTCTGAAATTAGGGGCACATCATGCCCTTAAGGGCATTAATTCACGTGCCGATAAGAAATGAAAATAATACAAAAACTCGGTTGAATATTCCGGTCACTTGCTCGCCAGATTCGACAACGTTGGGTTCGTTACTTCACCTTGAGGGACTTGGCGTTTGGCCACGTTTTCTTAAGTCAGTCGGCTTTTTGGTCCCATTCCACTCTCGTTTTTCTCAATTTTGGCGCGTAACCAACAGAGAAAGAAGAAAAAAAGACCTGATGAATAACCTCAGAGGTAATAACTTTAGGGAGACAGTCGCTCCGCTCTTCTGCAGCCCCCTCCCCCCATTCCGTTGGATGCAGTTTGTAAATTGCGTTCATCAGTGTGTTAAGAAAACGCAATAAACATCGGACGACCAAACTAAGATGGAATAAACTGTCGCGCAGGCGAGCATGGTCGACTTAGCGACTCTCATCCGTATTTTGTTTAGGATATTAGACCGGTAATCTTCAAGAAGTAATGATAGAGTGCCTATGCTCTGAATATAACTCCTCTGAATGAGGAATACGAGGAATTAGGAGCATCTTTACATACCTACGTTATGACTGAAATCCAAGATGACCACCTCCTTTTTTTCTCTACGAGCACATAATACTTATAATTTATTGATTCCTAAGCGAAACAATTTTCAGGGTGTCTACTAAAATAGGCTGATCAAAAAAAAGTACTTTTACAGTATTTTTCAGTACCTTATCAAGAACTTCAGTGCCTCCTCCGACGAAAAATTCCGTATTTTTTTCAGTACCTCCAATTAACGAAATTTGAAAAATTTCAAAAATTTGAAATTGCGACAGTAATGACGAAAAATTTAAAAGAATTACGGACCTTTTCGCGGAATTTCGGCATTTTTTCAGTACTTCCGGACCGCCCTTAAAAAATCAGTACTATTTCCGGACTCTCCGGAAATTCCGGACTTGTAGACACCCTGAATTTTGCGCCGGGTGGAATAGCCACGACCGACCCCACGGCCAAAACGGGGGGCATCGCAGAATGCGGCACTGAATTCCGATATCCCCAACACCCGCAGACTCCCCTCGATTTAGGATGAGCGTGTTTACGACCGAAAATTAAGGCGGCGCGGCGCGCGGAGGCAGACTATAAATACCGGCCGGGTTCTCCGCCGAAGTAGAAACAAGAGCGTATTATGCAAAACAAAGTTTCATTAAGGGGAAAACAAAATTCGTCTCACGAGCCGGGCGCTGCGCCGCGCCGCCTTCGGCGTCGGGCGTCGGGCCCTTGAGCGCTCCCGCTCCGGCGAGCTTTCGAGCGCGGGTAACGAAGTCGGTTGATTGAACTTTCGATCCGTCTCTTTATCAGTTCGTTTAATTACGGGCGTGCGGGAACGGTTCCGAGCCCCGGGCGCTCCAGCGACCCGCCGCACAGGGGATCGAGTCAATCGGAGAGGTCGGACATAAAATTTATGACTTAGAACTGGAGATTTTGATGTTTATTTAGTCACATTTAAAATGAGTTGCCACCGAATCTAGAAAATGAAATTCCCTGATTTTTCCCTGACAATTATAGATATGCCAAATGGTTAAAAAGATGTAATTAGAAAGAGTTTTTAGGCAACATTAGTTCTTCGAAACGTAAAACCCACTTGACAATTTTCCCTGAAATTTTCGCCATTTTCACTGACATTTCCAGGTATTCCCTGGCTGTGACAACCAGGGTGTCTACTAAAACAGGCTGGCCAAAATTCAGTACTTTTACAGTACTTTTTCAGTACGTTCCCAAGAAATTCAGTACTTCTTCAACAGAAGAATTCAGTACTTTTTCAGTACCTCCAATTAACGAAATTCGGCAAATTACAAAAATTTGAATTCCCTGCTCAAATTGCGACAAAATTGAAAAACTTCCGGACCTACTCGCCGAATTCCGCTCTTTTTCAGTACTTTTTGACCGCCCTAGAAAAATCAGTACTATTTCCGGATTCTCCGGAAATTCCGGACTTGGAGACACCTTGGGCAACTCTGTAAATTTTAAGGGGTCCTTCAGCGTCTGGAGGAAAATTTCACGAGGAAACCAATGAAATAACTTTTAAAACCTCAAAGTTTTGTATGAACGGAGTTATGGGCTTTGAAAGTTTCCAAATTCGTCCCAACCTCTTCCATTGACTCGATCTACTGTGCGCCGAGTGGGAAAAGGGGGGAGCGGGGATCCTCCGCAAAAAACGGAGCCACGGGATGCCAGGGCCCAGCCTCCTGTTGCCCGGCAACGTGGAGTCACGACGTGACATCCGGTGGAGTTGGCAAAAAAATGTCCATGACGAGTTCGGCACGCGGAGCGGGTTCCTGATAAGAGGAAGTAACGAATATTGCGGACGTGGCGTCAATACGAAATCTCGTCAAATTGTGACCCTCGGCGAAAAGAGTTGACCTCTGTTACGAAGCGAATAAAAACACAGCATGCGTGGAGGTTGTCTACTTGATCAGGCTGGCCAGGAATCAGTGCTTGGGCAATACTTTCTCGGTACATTCCCGAAAAATTCAGTACCTCCTTAACAGAAAAATTCATTGCTTTTTCAGTACCTCCATGTGACGAAATTCGAAAAATTTAAAAAATTTGAATTTCTCGCTCAAATTGCGGCATAAATGACAAAAAATGAACAAGATTCGGGACCTTCTTGAGGAATTTTTGCGCTTTTTCAGTACTTCAGGGCCGCTCTTAAAAAATTAGTACGATTTTGGACTTTCCGGACTTGCAGACGCCTTGTATATAGTGCTTTAGCAGAACAATCC